GGATCCCTGACTTTGTGCAAGTGTAAGAATTGATGCTGGTTTGAAGCCAAAGGATAGTCAAATATTGATTTGATTCAGATTTTTCTTCTGTTTGCTCACTTTGCATTTTGTAAATTGATAAACATAAACAATTGCAATATAGATTTTTAAAAGCATTCTTACTTTACAGCATTTTTTCACACCTGCCTAAAACTTTTGCACAGTACTATATATTTAAAATGAATGTAATAAATGATATGTTAGATTATAGAATAAAGCAAGGATTGTATGCAAGTTTGGATGATTGTTTTAACATTTAATTTTGGGTTAACTAATAAATATATATCTGAAATTTATTGTAGCTTAAGTTCTTTAAAATGTTCAGAATATTTTGCTTTTTTATTGATTTTACCAATGGCAATGAACTGAACTGAGCTGAGCTACCTGCTGTACAGTGTGAGCTGAGATTTCAAATGTTCCTGGGTATGATCTCACTTCTGTGTCATTTACAGGAGAAACAGTACAAAAAATGTGTGAGCTATGGGGCACTGTCAGTCATTTTTCCTTGTGATGTCCCTTTAAAGGGAATAGAAATGGCATCATTTTTGAACTGAAAACTTACACTGTGGAGTAGATTGCCTTTGGCTGGCTTAATGATTTAAGAAAAAGAAGAGAAAATCAGGTCAGCCACTGATCTGCCCATCTGGTTTCCTCATCTCATAATATGAAATCCACCATTCAGAAGGAAACGGCACTGGAGACCCCATTGATTATGAATTTAATATGATTTAAGAGTAATAAGGATGTGGATGATTGGACTGAATGGGGTAAATTGATTTTGAAGCAGGATTTGTATTATCTAGGTTAAAGTAAATGGATAAAAGAACTGGTCTGGATGGGTTCAGTGAGGTGGAAATTAAAGAACAATGTTGTTGACTGATTTGGTTCGATAGTTATTTATCTTCTGGTAAATTTAAAGTCTTTTGAAATGTGCACATATATACATAAATTTATATATGGAAATTCTATCAAAATTTGTGTTCTCTATTTCCATGATATATGAAAAAAGTTGAACTGGTCATTCTAGGTATGATAGTTAAAATAAAATAAATAAATAAATTGAGGAGAATTATCAATTTCCACTGGAAACCAAATGTTTCTTTTCAGGTAAAATTGTGGATAAATTACGAGAGAAGCAAAAGAGTTTGATAAGGTTACTAGATTTTCCTAGAATATGATAAGACAAAGTGACAGATTTTCCTGAGTTTTCTTTAGTGTGGTACTACAAGCTTTCATAGTGTATCATTGTTCACCATTCATAGCACATTAAGGGGACCAATTAGTGGAACAAACTTAAAATAATTCTTTTTCAGTGTACTAAATAGGCCAAAAAGGGGGGGAGGGTCTGTTCTGTTTTCTCTTTCTAAAGAACATATCGTTATATGACAACTGGTTGTATTTATGAAAGGTTCTTATTTTTTCAAACTGTATACATATTCAAGGTTTTCACCAAATACCACAAGCCCTTGGGTATCTTTTTCATCATGAAATAAGTACTCTTAAATTACAAGGTACGCTTCTTAAACTGTAGTCACATTTCATTAATGGAGTCATTACCATGAATGACACAGAACAATGTTAGCTGTAGTTTGAAAGCATTTGAAATGTAGGTTTAGATGTGTATTTCAAAAATAATATTGCAGAATTAACTGAAAAACCGGTAAGGGAATTGGTTTGGATTTATTTTATCAAGAGCTCAATAATTTACATCACTACCCTCAGTCAGCCTTAGCCTCAACCTATGCTCCGAATAAATCCACTTCCTTGATGTCACAGTAAAACTATACAATGGACACATAACAGCATGTTATACAGAAAATCTATAGATCACTATGCATATCTGCATGCTTCCATCTTCTACTCAGAACACACCACTAAATCTGTTATCTATATTCAGGCTCCATACTACAACTGAATGTGTTCTGACCTACTTGACAGAGATGTTTATCATCCATGGAATAGAACCGCACATTCAGGAGACTGAATTACTCATTCAATAAGATCAGTAGGCAAATCAATAGAGCCAGGTTGATTTTCAGGGAGGACCAATTAAAAAAACAGACCACAAAAAGCAGAAACCACAAAAGCAGAAAAAACACCACTGGTTGTCACAACTCAAACCACTCAAACACATTAATATACTACAACCCATACTGGACAGTGACACTGCACTTTATTAGGTACTGGGTGATAAGTCCTTACTTGTATACAGACCCAACACGAAGAAGACTCTCACATGCAACAAGCAACAACAGAACAGTGATGCTAACATAGAATCATACCCTTTAACAAATTCAGATGTTTACTTTGTCCTACACTTACACCAATAGCACCACCAATAGCAACAGGCCCAGCAACTTCACACACAAGATTGGAGGTCCCTTTACATGCTCTTCCCCTAATGTGATATATACTATGATCGGCCTGCAGAGTCCCCCAGGATTCTATGTAGGACAAGCAATGGACAGATGTAGGGCAAAAGAATTAATGGATGCAATATTGACATCAGGACACAAAATGAGGACCAACAGAACATTTTAACTTCCCCAGATACTCCATTACAGATCTCAGAGTAACTGTTTTGGAACAAGGAAACATTAAATTTCAGGCTATCTTAGAAGGTATCAGCAAACACAATGGGTTTTAACACATTACAAGTGTTAATTGAAAATATACTTGTGTGCCTCACCTGTATCCTGTATCTGCAAAATTACCATCTTCCTATTGCTTCTCTCCCTGTCTTATCCCAATTTAAATCCTACATGAATTTAGCCACTCATGAAGTGAGCTGGAGTTCACAAAAACTTGTCTTTAATAAAATATGTTAGTTTGAAAAGATACTACCAGACTCCTGATTTTTGCTTTGAAATGATCATGTTTGTAGCTGTATATCATGCAGAAGAAATAATGTGTTTAGTAATTCAAGCTTCTCACATGAAATTCCCACTCTATCTCAAGCAGTCCGACCATATTACAGTAAAAGGGAATGAGTTATCAGTGTTGGGCTGCTGAATGTCATATACTGTGAATATTAAAGAATGTAGAAGAAAAATGGGATGCAGATTTATAAAGCTTACTTATTTATTCTCTTTACAGCCCATTGGTGCTTTAAATCCAAAGAGAGCAGTCTTTTATGCAGAACGCTATGAGACGTGGGAAAATGATCAAACTCCACCTTATCATTATAACACTCATTATTCCACATCTACTTGTACATTATCCTGGCTTGTTCGCATTGTAAGTATTTTTGCCATCTTTACCTTTAGTATCTTGATACTATTACTGATAAAGCTGTCTTCTGTCTTTTATATTAAAAAATAATGTTGTTTAATAATAGAACTGAAATTTCAGGGAAACAGGATAAGTCAGCCTTAAGGACAGAAGCATCCTAATGTTCCAGTGCAACTATTATCTCATTACAATTATCTACAGAGAGAGAAGGCTAATGGTAGGAGTTAGTGTAGTGAGGCAGTATCATTACTTACATTACAAGGAATTACAGTATTTGGGATAACAGTTACATTACTGGTAAAAGTGAAGACATTTTTGACCTGAGAAGTACATGCAAGTGTCCTTTGCATGTGAACTGACAATTTCAGGGAAGCATACTCTAGGGGAGATGGGTGGCATATAAATTTAAGTAATTAATTAATTAATTAATCATTGCAACGGATCCAAGGTTACCCTTTGTCATTGTACAGTTCAACTGCTTGGGACTCAAAATATCTTCAATAATCTAGTTAATGATCTTACTTTTTTTGGAAAAATTTTCAGAATGAACCAGTATGGAAACTGATTTTACTAGAATATTCATTACAGGAGTAAAAATAATATATTTACGTATTATCATCATGCCTTTCAATAAGTTGCATGAAAAGCAACCAGTTCAAAAATAATGGAAACATCAGGATGTCAATCAGCAAATGCCAGTCTTTGCACAATAAATGTATACAAATATCATAATAAACCAACCAATTTACAATAATCAAAAGCAATTCCTTGCTCTTTCAAAATTATCAGTAAGTGAATTCAGTTAAAGAAAAGAATCCATAAACAATAACATGTAAAAGTCATTATGTTTCCTACTTGGCTAAGGATGAGATTTTGCTGTAATGCCCAGACTGTTGTCAATTTCTTCCACTGCATCCTAGAGTAAAATAAATATCTTTTTGAACAGTTCTTAAATATATTAACATTGATTGTTGTTCTAAGATTTATTTGGTGAGTACTTTCTCTAGAATCAGGTCCATGTCCTGGAAAGTGGGGCACCAAGGGACCTCCAAAAGTTCTGCAAGGTGGCAAGAGTCACTGGAGGAGCACACAAGAAATAAAAGAAGAAAGATAAAATGGAGCATTGCCCAATTTCAGGGCCCAAAGACCAAAATCATAAGTTTATATTAGGTCATTACTCTTAGAGGGAACAATGAAGGGTCTTACAGTGCAGGGACTGAAAACCCAGATTAAGGAGGAAAGAGGGAACACCTGCCAGTAGATGCTTGCAGTCTGGCATGAAACTATCAGATCCTGCACCAGAAGTATCATTGCATCCATTTTCAGGAAGCAGTGGACTAGCAAATATTCATTACATAGGCATTACAGGCTTTATCCATTCTACAACAAAAAAAGTTTGTGTGTACCACTATCACCAAGACCAGAGACTGAGGCCATTCAACAACCCTAGATACAAGGACTCAGAAAGGAGGAGGAGGGAAGGACAGCTGAGCTTGTGACAGTGTGAATTAGAAAGTTGTAATGGATTTCCAAACACATCATCATGCTAAGCATAGGTCTGATAAACTGAATGTTATATCCATAAATATAATACTGAAAACCCAAGATAGAAATCAACTGACTATATATATATAATTTTTTGGGTGTGTACATCAGTGAATATAAAAAGCAGAACAAAATAAAAATTTAGACTGAAAAAAATTAGGATTATTGAAGAATTTGGTCCACATTTGTATGTGAGCAAATCTACTTTGCACATCCTTGACAAATACATGGATTGAAATACCATTATCATTTGAACTACGCTGTTCTTCAAATTGTATGATTTCAGCTTGGATTCTAATCTCTTTCTTGATAACTTAAAACCACTTAAATATATATTTCACATTAAGGGAAATAAAAATAGATATTTTTAGGTTAAAATATTTTGGAATTTAATGCAGGATAATGGATGTATTTTGTTAAATCCATTATCATGCATTAAATTCCACAATATTTTAATCTAAAAATTATTATGATAAAATTAAAGAAAACAAGGGGAATAATTTTTGAAGATAAGAGGAGATGATGATGGCGATGATTATGATTTCATATTTATATTCAACTCTTCGATGTACAATGCTTTTTAATAATGTGTAAGCTATGTGATAATTGTAGATGAGTCTGTATAGTGCTGTTAAGGATTAAAAATCCAAAAGATAGACACATTACTTTGGTATAATAGCCCCCCCTGTGGAGTTCAACTATGGGAGGTTTAATCCTTCAATCTGAATCTTCTTACTTTCTGTGTTTGTCTGACTCTTAAATAATTTTGTCATGGATATTATAATTAAGTTTTAACATAATTTGCTATAATTACCTTTCCTACTTTTTTAATCATCTTCACTTCATATTTAGAATCTCTGCTTCTACTAATAAGCAGCTTCAAAAACCATCTTATTTAAAACTCAAAATAAAGATACACAGTGGTGTGCTGTGCTTTTAAAATTCCAACTTCAGGGTTTTTAAAAAAAAAACCAAGTATTTTATTCATACTAATAGAATTACATTTGACACTATCAAATTGTTTACTGAAAGATTACCACTGATTTTATATACAAAATTCTTTAATTAAAAGGCAATATAATAGAACTGTGTAAAATCATTCAGAGGTGTTTTGCTTTGGTGTCAGTCCAGTGAAAATGTCAGCTACACAAGGACACACACGTTCAGCAACATGAGGAGGCCCTTGAAATGTATTTGCTGAGCTTCTGAGAGGTTGTGGCACTTTGAGCCACACTTCAGGGGACGTGGAATGGAATATTCTGGAGAAGGAGTGGCCTAAATAGGAACTCACCTGCTGAGAAATATTTTGTTGCAGCTCCCCACGTTATTTATTATTTACTCATTACAGTATATCCACTCCTCTATCCATTTATAGAAAATGCTGCATTTTGTTTTAGTATATGCAAATTCATATACATAATATTATCTATACCTACCTACCATATAGATGAAAACAAAATAGATGACATGGACTTGGCTTATATCGATACTGTCTGAAATAAAACAATAATTTGGAGTAACTACTTATCCCTCTTGGTAACATGAAAGGAAACCAGTGAAGCTAACTGAATATGTTGCTAATTGTATTTTGGTGAGACCTGACCTCTGAGCAAGGTCTGGAGTCTTTTAGAGCTTGGAAGGTCCATATTCGAGAATTATTCTGCTAATAAGGCACCAGAGATAGTATCTTGGAGTACCTTTTGCAAGCTCAGGAGACAATCAGCAAAGGTTTTTGCTTGTTCGTTTCTACCATCAATCTCATTAATCATGTGCTCCTTTAAATGATGTGAAAGGCACAGACCTTTCTCTGTTTTGCTTGGTCAAGCAAAAGAAAAATATGATTCAAGTTCTCCCTTTCCAACTAAAATATATTCCAATCCTTCAGACTTACATATGGCTTTAGTAACGTACTTAATGCCTTGATTACAGTACCAACACATAGTATTTTCCTAACAGATTGTTATCCTCCTCTGCCACTTACATAAGAATACAGATACAAATGCCATCCTGATGAAAAAAGCAGAATGGGAAGGGTAAACTAGGGCTGCCATAGTTGGAATGTAAAAATCTTGACAACCAAAGAAGTTGGTTAGCAGGAAAGAAGTTCTTCCCAAAGCCTGTTGTTTGCTGTCACCTATTAGTCACCTCTGCTTCTGCAGCCTAGATATGGAAGCCCTAGCTAAATATAGGTAGTCCCCCGGTAAAGAACACCCAGCTTACAGACAACCCATAGTTAGGAACAGAGCCTATTGTAGCAAAATTTGAGTTAAATACACAATGATTCAAGTTAAATGGTTTGAGTTAATTACACCATACTATTTATACAGTATTATACCATAATACTATTCCAGCTTATGTACAAATTCGACTTAAGGACAGATCTTGGGAACGGAACTTGGTCTTAAACTGGGGACTACCTGTACCTTTCCTTTCTTGTTCTTCTCCTCTGTCTAGTGCAAGTTATTCAATCTCAACAGGCAATATTTGCCAGAAACAGATAAGTAGGGCATGACAAGAAAAAGGAGTTTGCTTGCAGGCCTCTCCCTTCCTTTGTCATCCTGCCGTGCAGTTGTACAGGCAAGATAACGTGGGAGGGGAGGCTTCTCATGCTTTGGTATAATGGATCATGGCTTTGGCCTTAATATTAAAAAGAAAGATGTGTGCTGTTTATAAGCTAAATAAATTTCTGAATAATTGTTGTTCTTTACATTGCGTAAGTAACATTTTCACAGCCTTAAACAGTATTTGCAATTGGTTGGCAGGTTATTTACAACCCACAGATGAAAAAAGTGTGACGATAAATTATTTTATTTAACAAACTGGAGTCTTCTGCTAGATACACTGCGTTCAGACATTATGTCCTCTGTAACTGTATTTTTTGAATGGCATTGTTTCACATCCATAAAGCTTTCTTTCCAGACTATACATTTTTTTCCCATTGTTGCTGCCAGACACTGGATTTTAGGAGACATTTTATATATACGTACTTACTTTTTTAGTGACCATAGCTGTTATTAACAGAATTTTAAAATTCCCACAGCATGTAATCTAATGATGCAAACAGTTATAATTATCCAATCCCCCTAACCCTGCTTTTAATACTAGGCATGTTCTGTAATACATCATTAATATAGTATTCACATAACTAAACATACAACTAAATGTATTTCTAATGTATTTTAAACCTATTCCATGCTATTTTAATATTTTATGTTTTTTAATGCTGCTAAGGGTGTTCAAGAATCAGACCTTCCTGACTCCATCAAAGCTCTTCAAACATTCCTACTTCAAGGACCTAAGAAAAAGTACAGAACAGACTTAAGCAAGTCTTTAGAAATGAGTCATTAGTTCTTCTCCTAGGCAGAGTGATTGGAAACTCCTCACTCTGGCATTTTCTATGTAAGGAAAAGTGAAAACAAGTGCAGGTTGTTTTGTCTTTCTGTAATCTTTTGAAGCACCAAGGCTCTCATACAGATTCAGGAAGGTCTGCATTTAATTCTGTTCATGTCCCACTTTGCCTCAAACTGAGAGCCACTTTATCAAGCAACCAAACTCAGTTTTTTAGATTTAGCCAAATCAGTTGACCTTCTATGTGCATTTATCTGGGACTAAGTCCTAATGAATTCGGGAAGTTTTTTCTTTTGAAAAGACAATTAGGCTTGCACTGCAAGTGGTTTTATACTAAGGATATTATTCTATACATTTTAAAGGACTGTGGCACAAATTACGGAAACATTTTGGACTTAAATTTAAGTGTGAATTCCATTAAAGTACCTTGGCCAGATGGATTTGCAAACAAATCCAGCATAGTCTGCTAGGACATTGCTACAATTCAGAATAGTATTGAGACATCTGGACCCTTTAAAGTAGTGGTGAACAATATTTTCATAGCCAGGAACCGCACTTAGTAGACAGGAAGAATGAGGGCTGATGTGATGATGTGAAATGGGAAGAGCCAGTGACATTAAATGTGTGGGTTTATATTACAAATGGGTTGCCAGCATTTTCTTTTTAATTGTAGTTTGGGGGATATACAGTAAAAGTGATTTTTTTGTTTTCTTATTTCAATACATTCAGTTTTTCTAGACTCACACAACAGCTTTATTGTGCTTCTCACTGAAAAACAGTGAGAAATCACAGTGACAATTTGGAACTGCAGACTGCACTGCTGATAGTGGGTGACCAGCTCTGGTAGCAATGAAGTTATCTACCTTGCTTTAAAGCCTGGAAAATTAGAACCACGGCTACATTGGTTTGTAATAATATCAGCTGATAGTTCAAATATGAGTTCTGATCCTTTGCTGAAGAATTTATTCTTTGATTCTACACCATGATAAGAGTATATCCTAGTCCTCCTCGGCATCTTTTTTTGCCTTGTGACTACCACAAGAGTTTCTCACCAACAACTTTTGCAGTTAACTGGCTAAAGATTAAGTGTCATTGACTCCTGGTGACTTCATGGACATGTGCCGCATATGAAAAGTAAGATTATTTACTTTCACCAGAAGCATTTTGAAATGATTACTAACAGAACAGATTTTTCCTTTCTTATTAAAAGTCTGAAACCAAAGTACTGAGCTTACATTTGAAACTGCATTTCATGACAGATTTAGTTTCAGCAGAATTCTCCAAAATTAAAGACTTTCATATCTCTTTCAGTGGGAGACAACCTCATTCTTAAACCGCTTTCACTGAAATCATAGAAATTATTCATTTTTGCTGCTTAATTTCATTGTTTAAAACTTGAAATATTGGACATACATAACACATTTCAGCAAAAACGATGGGTATTCTCCAAAGGTCTTATAAAAACTATAAAAATATTGTTAGGTCACTTAGAATACTTATGTGTGTGAAATAGATTAAATAGAGGAAATCATTTGAAAACAGTATTGTACAAGCAGCATGTCATTTTATAGGAATCTTTCCATACTCTGATTCAGATATTGTTTTTTATTGTACTTTATTACTCACATCAAAAAATGAAATATGCAATGATTTGATATAAAGTGCTTATTAATTTTTTATTAATTCTTTAATTAATTTTAAAATTTAATCATATTGCTTATTATATCACTTGGCTTCTTACAGTATATTTCCTCTTTGCCTTCTTTTTTTTAATGGTAGGAGCCTTTTACAACATTCTTTCTCAATGCAAATGATGGCAAATTTGATCATCCGGATCGAACTTTTTCTTCAGTGGCAAGATCATGGAGAAATAGCCAAAGAGACACTTCGGATGTCAAAGTAGGAATAATATTTTGTATATGCAAGTAACTGGGGAGCTGTCCACATGATTACATGCTATAAATGCAGAATGGGGGGAAGGGGAGGGTTGTGTTTCACATACCCAGAAAAGAAAGTTGCATTGGTATCATCATTTTTAAAAGCCTATTTTACATACAGTGATAAATACAGGCTTTTCCAATATTTAAGCTATTAAAAGGTCTTTTGTTCCTGCCAAAATAAATAAATAATCCTATCCCAATTTAAATCAAATAATCACAGAATGGAGAAAAGCCCAATAAATTGTTCTTTCCTGCTGTTAACTCAATATTTGGCCCATTCCATAAACACAGCAAGATTGGATTTGACCTTAAAGTGTTATATTGTTATAGCTTTTCTAGCATGGGTTTTCCATCGCCTGGGGCAATTAATAAAGCATTAATGACAAGATACATTTAAAATGTATGCTTTCTGTAAGCCTTAGCTTTTTCTTCATTGTGCCTCAGGATATTATGCAACAGTACACATTAGATTAAACCTATATCTACATAATACATAGAAACAACCAGAGAACAGGATGATTTTTGAAGTATTACCCTGCACTCATTCTTGTATAAAAGGTTTTTATAAGTTTTATTGAACTGTGAAACCCGTATTCTTGCTTTATATTAAAAAATAAGATCCTCTCCTGATTTTCAGTTAGTTGGCAGCCTAGAAATCCTATAAAAATACATACATACTTACATACACAGCATTTTTAAGAATTAATAAATAAATATCTTTATTCATTCAATTTTATCATTACATGCTTGCTTGAAATCAGAAGATATATCTGAAATTGTTTACAATTATTGTAAACCCTTTCTAGGCTTTTTTAAAAAATGTATATTGCTAGAATTGTTTTTACAGGCTCTTATAACCTAGAAGTCCATTCATACTAATGCTACTAGGAGTTACATTATTTATGTATTGAATTTCTGCTCTGACTTAGGAGAAAGGAATAATTGGTTGAACAAAAGAAAGATAAACTCATAAAACTGTTACCAGGTTCTTTCATGATTTGGATTCCATTGGAAATCTATGCCACCTGATATATAATCAGCATAACATGAAAGTGATGGTTTTTGGCCTGCAATCATCAATACCAATATGTGCATTAATGCACTTACATTTTCAAATGAAAAATAAACAGCATAAAGCAGAAGAATAATATAGCCCCCCAGTTTAGTAGAAAGAACTTTGCACGTGGAGGGGAGAATCTATGCATATTTCTGAAAACTGAAATCCCTGTTCTGTTCATATCTTGCGAAATGTGTTGGTTGGCCATGAAACGTTGATTTAATATTGCAATCTTTTAGAAAGACCAAGTGCAAGATTTTCTTATCAGGAGCCTTTGTTTGGCCATCTATTTTTGCCACTAAGATTCACTCTGCATATATAAAGTAGATATTAAGATGAAGCATCTATCTGGTTTATGAAGGCTGTTTTCCCAGGCAAAAGCTGCATGTAACAGTTTATTTTGTAATGGCTTATTAGAAATACTATAAGCCTAGTTCTCTCTATATAAATCTTTAATACATTTGCAAACTTAGCTTAACAAGGCCAGAATAAATAAAGTACTATTAAATTACTGTTATTCCTTTTGCTTTCTCCCCTGCTCCCTATATATATGTATATACTGGCTTCTGTTAACTGCCATAACCTTACGATCAACATCATTTTATTTGTATATGCTGAAGATAAAAAACTCTAATGAATGTTAATCATAAACTATGACTGATTTTTCTGCCTTAGTATTAATCAGATGCCTTCATGAAGTACTCACTCACTAAAATATAATTATAAACCTAATTGGGTAGTTTTATACTGATTGGAGGTACAACCATCCATTTGGGCAATACTCCCACCTCATTTTATTTAAGATATAGGTTTCTGTGTATGAAAAGTAAACCACTCAAACATCCAGTCCAACCATGATTTGCTGTTTTAAGAACAAGCAGACATGGGCCTCAGTTTCACATATCCCCTCTTCTCCTCTAATGCAATGAGAAAAGATAAGGAGGTTTTTGTTATGGATTTCCAGCAAGGCTGGCCATATGTCCTATATAAAAGGACAGTCTGCTACTTAAATAGCCATTGAAGTTTGTGTTGAAATAGTACTCTGTTTGAATTCTGCTTTAAAAAGAAATATAAAAAAGAAAGATTTGGGGACATTAAGGTTGCCTATCATGAATGAAAACCTGAGCAGATGACTAAACATTATCTGGTCAAGTCTTTCACTATTATATTAAATGAAACATTTTATAAATTTAAATTATGATTTTAATTTTGCACCTAGGCAGGCATAAAAATTCACATGTAAATCTGAACTCTCTTTTGGTTTGTGTATTTCCTTGTTGATAGTTATAGAAGCCACCTTAAACAGTTTTGAATTTTGTGTCTGAAGCCATGTTTTTTCTTAAACCAGGATTGTTTGATATCCTGATATAAACTGAATGACTTGAGTTTTGCCATTTGCAAAACAGCAAATTACAATTTGTTGCAGATTGCAATTGTAATGTATTAATTTGATTCCCTTAAATTTCAAGACTAAGGTTTAGTCATATTGTCTAAAAAAAGTTACATATAAATTTGGAAAATATGTTTATTTTTCAAAAGCAGAAAATCACTTAGGAGCAAAAGACATATACTGCCATAATTGATAAATTAGCATAATGAGTACCCTGCATGAAAAAAAGTATTTTAAAAAAAATTACTTGTAGAGGTCCTGCATAGAGTAATAAAGAAACTGTAGTGTAATGATCCTTTAGTAAAGACACCACTCTAAAGTGCAAAAAATACAGTGTTCAAAAACTAATTTTTTTGAATGCCTGTCAAACATATTATATTGCTCTTGGACAAGACTATAGAAATCAGAAAAGGTAGCTATAACAAGATGTCATTAAGGTGACATATTGTAAATTAATATGGTTAATGGACATTCTTATAACTGAATGACACTCCCACCCACCCCCCACTAAGGTGAATGTCGAAATAATGGTTACCAAAGGATCAGCTCGAGTTGGGGGAAGAAAAAAAGTGTAAAGAGAATAGAGGCCTGAAAACCTTGCATGGAATTATATTAACTGAAAATGTCTGCATTAGGTTTGATTTCAGGATATAAAATGGTATATTGCAGACATATTAAAGTGAAATACTGAAGTTGAGTCTTATGGTACACAATTACAACTGAGTTAATAGTAGTCTTCTATAACATCAAGACATATCTAAGCCTAATTTTTGATACATTGAATTAATCCCAACTTTATAAATTAGAAAATGTCCTTTGGCATTTCCTTCCCCTCATTCAAAGACATAATACAAGTAATACTATTAATAATACTTTTGGATTGTAACATAGCTAGTAAAATAAACTAGAGATCACATTTAAATTTGATCATATAAATTTGGCCTTATAAATTTGATAAATAAGTAAAATTTAAAGATATAAAATGTCTGCTTTAATATTCCTTTTTATCCTTTTAAGACTCCCTTGTATCTTTGTTATTCTTTAATTTAAAAAAAACTAAGTCACATGAAAAGTAGCTGCTTATTAAATATTACAAATCTGCACTCTCTTACTATATAGCAGAAGTAAGAAAGGTGACAACTTAAAAATAAGATAGAATTATTGGGTTTATTTATTTTAGAAACTTCTACAATTTTCCAAACTAAATTGAAGATGATAGCAAAACAAAACACTGTATAATACGTAAAAGATATAAACTACAGAACGTAACAGCAGCAAGGCCACATTAACGCTGTATAAGAAGCCAAGGGACTATATAAAGACAGTTCCTTAAAAAGATACTCATAAAGGGTTATGGTGAAGAATTTATACTGTTCTACTAACCATGCAAAATATGAAAGGCTATTGTTAAGGAATTTATATTATTCCATGCAGTTTTGAATCCTCAAGTACTCTGTCTAACTCTGTGCACATTTTAAGAAAGATTAAAAAAAAACTGGATCAGGTGCAAGAGAAGGATGGGAGGTATGATCAGGGAATTGGAAACCAAGTCCTCTGAAGAGAGGCTGAAGGAATTGACATGTTTAGCCTTGAAAAATGGGGAGATATAATAGCATTTTTCATATATCAAATTTGTATAGAAAAATATCTGTCATCTCAAACATAGGACATGGAATAATGTTACAGGAATGCAAATTCTAGTTGAATGTTAGAATTAACTTCCTAACAGTCAAAATAGTCTAATAGTGATAGATAATTACCAACTCAATTACCAACTACCACATGGTGGGCAACCATGTACCAATAGAGGTGAATATGTATAGCTCAGAGTTGAACTGTGGAGTCCTTGAGGTTCTCTGGCTTGGTTCTTTTCTTGCAAACGTTTCATTACCCGGCTAGGTAACATCTTCAGTGCTAAAATAGGTTGGGGTTTGCTCTCTATTATATGCTGTGGCCTGCCTTGCCAGTGCTGGTGGGGGTGGGGGGTTTTGTTTTGCGCCTCTGGTAGTTCCTTGATTAGCATATGTTTACTGCTTGATTGTGTGCCTGGTGGTGACCT